TTGTGAAAACTTTCCAGGTGACTTTGCTTTGAGACTCCTGGTCAAATCAAGCGGAAACGGAATTTCAACACCTCTTTCTTGCACAAATTTACCTTTTTCTGTTTTTGTAAGAGTACCTAAACACAAATTGTTAATGGCATTTCCAGAAATAGTTAAAAAACTAGGCGAACAACATACCTATAGCACTGTACCATGCATCCGCAGCAAAACGTACCCTCTTCACTTCACGATTCAGCCCACACATTTCATCATGCAGCCCGTCCATTTTGAAACTAATTTCTTCAATATGTCTTTTTAATTCTGTTAGATAAACGAAGCGTTAATATATAATCAACATTTTTAAATCATATCAGAAAAATTACCTTGTTCTCTACCTGAACGTGAAATCAAATATTGATTAAATTTTGAAAGACGGAAATACAACAATAAATCAAAAGGTTAAACCTTAAAATATTCACTCGCGTTGACCAATTTATTACGACTCACTTACTAGTGGCACCGGGTTGTTCTATGAAATGTGAATATGAATTTGGGGCGGGTTTGACAATAAGAAGCAGTAAAGAAAATCACAAGAATAAATAAGTATTCGGCATTATTTGCAAATATCACAGAAAACAGCAAATTATCTTAGAATGTAACAGTTGATGCCTCTACAGTGACTTGTAGAGGTGTGCTTAAGTTATTCTCGAAGCTCTGATCCACAACAAGCCCAGGATCTAAGTCCTTTTCTTCACCGTGTCTTCTTAAAGTGATGCGGTTGACATCAACGTCGGCCAACTCATTTGGCAGTTCCTTTTTAATCACTCTTATCAAATCGTCTACAATCTCTCCGTCGAAAGTAAGTCTAACTGGTCTGCTATCGCCATACTTGACCCAGATTTTAGAAGGGGTTGACGAAGAACCTAGGTGAAAATCCTCGAGAACTATTTTTTCGCAAAGGTATTGAGTGACTCCTCTACAAAAAATATTTATAATAAATTTACCTACCACTAGATAGCTCCGTTCGTAGGGGAGGAGCATTTTCAAATATTTCGACACCTTTGTCTTTTGCAGTTGTACCAGATGTGCCAGATGTACCAGCAACAGTAGATGAAACGACCTCTACGGAAGATATTCTTCACTAAATATAATGAATTGTTTCTTCACAAAAAATGCTCGAAAATACATATACTTTACCTGTAACTTTTTTCTGAGACTTTTTCGGTTTTGGTGGCATCTTTTTTGAAAAATGCTACGAAGCACAATAACGCCTATCATGTACCACAGCCAATAAAATCGATTGTTGCGTCATATTATCCGATATGTCGAGGTATATATAGTAAGTAGTCTGGTTATATTTGGCAAAAAAAAAAGTGCGAGAACGACTTATGAATTGCATTGATTGGTTAATTGGTAAGTTCATCAATAAGATTTCAGCTTTGATATTGTCATTCTCTCTTCTAAGCTTATTAATTTCTGCTGAGCTTAAAATTCAATTTTCTTAACAAGTCAGTAAATTGACTTTCAACGCGTCTTTATATTGCATGTTTAATATTAATTTATTAGTATATCATTTTGTCAAAATATTGAGAAGAATATAGAGTTCATCTTGAAGTTATTTTTGTATCAATATATATTCTAATTTTAAATAAAAATTGGCTATCATTTTTATTACTAATAAAGAAATTCTCTTGAAAAAGCCCAGTTTCAAAAAAACTATAATAGAAAAAATAGAATTTTAAAATATAATCTTAAATATACATTAATTTAAAAAAAATTGAAATTTTATTAATATATTAAGTACAAATATTGAATAATTTAAAATTAATTTTACTTAAAATATTCTATAATAATTTTTTTTTTTTTTGACTGGCTCAGCCTTGTTTTGTTATTTTTTTCAAATTATATTTGTACAAGATGTATACAATACAGGGATGTATATTCAGTAATAGTAAAACTCGATAAGCTATATTCTACCTTGTGACCTGTTGCCCTTCCTTTTGGAGGAAGAAACTAATATGCCAAAATCATACTATTTGTTATATAAAAGAATAAGATAGTGAAAATGTTAGTTTAATATTTTATGTACTTATTAATGTATTTGTTTACTATTTCGGTTAAGTTTAGAAGAAATTGTTGTAATATGATCAGATCTGTGTGGCTTGTAGTTTTTTGTACCTTGCACATTTTATGTCAGTGACACTTGATAGGTCCTTGAAAATTCTTCAGGTTGTGAATTTCTTCACATCTATTTGTTCATATATCATATAATAGCTCTTTCCATTCTCTCATCATGTTCATGACAGTTTCTATTACTTTGTTATTATTGATTATAATTGAGTTAAGTGTCTCCAGTATTTTTTTCAGTACCACTCCTTGGATCAGTAGTTTAAAGATTTTGGGATTAACCAGCTATATTCGTCTATATATAATTTCCTGGAAGTTCTTTTTGTGTTCTTTAATAATATGTGTTGATGCGTGTTTAATAAGAATCCTTTAGAAGTTTTTCCACAGTATTTCTGTATTGCTGCTACATAGAAACAGGTGTATAGTATTCTCTACTTCCCTACATTTGTGACATTTGGCATCCTTGCAGATTAGTGTATATTTGTTGTATAGCTTGGTTCTGGTTGAAAGTTCTTTGTACTAGAGATTAAAACTGAATTTTCTTATGTGGTGATCTCTATATGAAGTTACGGGTTTGTTTATTTCAAGTGAATATATATTGTTGAATGTGTGCTGCCAGTAGATGTTTTTGTAATCTTCATCTATAAATCTGTTTTGTGTCCTATTCAGTAGCTTCCATTTGATTAGCTTGATGGCCTTGATAACTTGTTTCACTAGCTCTTTATATGATATATCTATTTGTATTATATTCTAGACTATATTTATTGATGCCATTCCTCTATGAGGTTGTTTTATATTAATAAGTTTCCAGTTGGGTTTTATGTTTAAGGAAATGGAATCGATCCTAACTAGTCTGTTGGATTTCTTATTTAGAGAAATACCCGTATATACTTTTTTTTTATAGATTGAGATATTTAGATTTTGTTATTTCCTAATATAGGTGAAAGTATCTATGATTATCTGATTCAGTTTTTCTCTCACATTGAGTCTATTAGGTTTTTATTGCAGCTTAACTGTCTGTGTACAGGTCAATAGTGGTATCTTTGTTTAAGGGGCTTATTACTGTAGTTATAGCTATCAATTCTGTACTTTTAGATGAGGCATGAAGTTGTGTTTATCCTTGAAATATATATTCTATTTCTTCTCTGTTCTCTATGATCCATTCAAGTCCTATATGTAATCTGTTACTATAGTTTGACACTGATTCATTTGTATATATTATGATATGCTAGCAGTTCTTCAGTCATTGTTGAATTATTGTCAGGATGTTCAGGTCTTCTTTTTTAGCTTAAATATTTTATTAATGTTTGTCATTTCTGGATTACTATTGTCTATTATAACCTGTAGTAAGGTTTGGTTTAAATAGCTCTTTCTTAGTAGTGCTTGATAATATCCTATATTATAGGGTACTTGCAATTTTGTCTTTGTTTTCCTTTGATGAGATACTTGTTCTTTCCACTAGATCCTGAATTATATGCTGTCTTTTTGCTACAAATATACAAGTTTCAGTCAATATGTCTCTTTCTTTGTTTAAAGGACACTCAGTGCATTTTTTCAGTGATGACTGCTCCCCTACTCTTGAATAATATTTGAAAACTACTGTATTGAGACTGTTATTGCATTTTTTCTTGCTGATAACTTCCTTATTCTGCTTAAGTATTGCTCCCCAGTGTGGTTTATATAAGTTTTCCATTACCAAGGGTCTGCTTTGACTATAAGTTTGATGATTACTTGTCTTATCTTCTATCCTGTCTTATATATTAGCTAGAATCACAAGGCTCTTTGTAACTTCTTTGTATCATTTTGAAGTGTTTCTTTTCTTTATTTTATCTATAACACCTATTTCTCTCCAGTATAATAGTTATATACCAGTTGAGTTGATAATCTGCCCAACAAATATCAGGTTATATTTTCTTAATATCTATCTGTACTAGTAATATATTGAGCTTGGTATTGTTTCTTCAATTGTATTATCTATCTTTTTTATCCTTTGGAGCATTTTGGTTCTTGATTCCAGTTGAAATTAAAAACCATATTTTCTCAGTATCCAAAGGATATTATGATCCAGATTTTGTCTGGCTTTGAGAAATAGTTGGGTAAGATATATTGTTACTACATTGATTGACCAAAATAGATTCTATAAGTTTTGAAATCCTATTCTAAGGATTTTTCCCAGGGTTTTCTTGTCTTTCATTCTTTATGGCCATGCCTTTGAGTGAAGTTGTAATTGCCTGTCCCATATATGGTTCAGGTTGTATTCTATATGGTTGTATAAGAGAGTATTGGGGACTGTATTAGTGAGACCATACCTGTGTTTGTATTTTCTTACAATTTTGCCTGTCAAGAAGTTGCATTTACTTTTAAGGAATATCATATTATTGAGCAAGTATTTTATGCTTGGCATAAGTACATGATTTATTATGCATCTCATTTGTTTGTCTGTGGTTACCTTCCAGCTGATTAATTTGCTGATTTTCTTTACTTTTTCCTTTATGAGCTGCTTTTGATATCCTTTTTTCCCTAAGCTGTCCAGCCATATTCCAAGCATCCTCATTGGTACACCTGGCTTGCTGTCTCTAATTGTTTCTCTTTTGAGTATAAAGCTTCTTTCAAAATTTTCTGACTACCCATTGATGATGATTAATTGTGATTTTAGGGATTAATTTCAATATTATAATAATTAAAAACTCTGTAGCAATATCTAGAGTTCTTTGTAGTTCTTTCAGATTATCTGCCAGCCATATTATGTTATCTATATATACTATAGCCTTAATATCTAAGTGTTTCTCCTCATAGGGCCCATTAATATCTTCTTTGGATTTTGTTGTATACCTGTAACTCTTTCCTGATTTATTGATTTATATTAGGAGAAGGTTATAGAATATATGCCATAATAAGGGAGAGATTGTGTCTCCCTGATCGATTCCATCTAGTACCCTATAGTTTGGGCTAAGGCTATACATTATTATAATCTGGTTCTCTCTTTCTTTAAATAAATCTTGAATAATATTGATTATTTTCCATGTGTCTTATAGCATGTCACAACATTTTTATATTAACTGAGTTATAAGCCTTTGCCATGTATTGGCTTAGAATCTATAATTTTCTTTTCTTTCTATATGCTTGCTTTATACATAAGTTAGTTATGAAGATAGGGCCTTGAGTGCTGCTTTTAGATAGGGCTGTTCAGTTTGACTTATTAAGGATATTGTGCTTCTTGCAAATTTGGGATAAACTATTACCAATGATCTTTGTGAATATCTTTCTACCTGCTATAAGCAGAGTGATGGATCTGGTTATCTTGATTCTATTGTAACATTTCATAGGTTTCAATATAGGATATATATGTCCTATACTCTATTCCCTTGGTGATTTACCTTGTGTGAGGATTTTATTGTAAAAGTTGATAAGCATATTAGTGTTTTTGATCTGAAGTGTTTGTAAGCCATATAAGAAATTCTGTCTGGTCCTGATGCTGATTTAGAGTTAGTGTCTTTTATTTCTTTTTTAAGCTTTTGTGTTATAATAAGTTCTGTCAGTTCATTATATCACTCCTCTTAGATCCTTTTATTTGACAAGTATTGTTGTGCCCATCTGGATGTACTTTCTATAGGCATAGTTTTCCTGTACTAAATCCATTTTGTAAAGTGTTCTGATACTTTCCATTTGATTTTTTCTAGATCTGTGATGATTTTTATCTGATTGTTTCCCTCTATATATAGTTCTATTGGGTCTTTCCAAAATGCTGTTGATCATCTGTCATTTGTTGTCCTACAGCCATAGTTGCCTCCTCATTGTGTATTGTTAAATTTCTTTACTTCTGTGGTGGTTAGTGATTATTTTGACTGTTGTTTTATATTTTATTATGTATTCTTTACACATCTTCTTCCACTAGATCATGTAGTTCTGGGGATGCTTGATTTGCTATTCCTTTAGTTCTGCTACTAGCTCTGGAAAAAATTTCTATATATTGCTTATCTGTTTTTCAATCAGTTGTTTAGTTTGTACGTTAGATATATTAATATTCCTCTGCAGCTTTTCTAATAATATTTGAATATTCACAATCTTTCTATATATTGTTGGAGCCTCCTCCAACTTTTTGTTTCTCCTCCAGTTTTTTATCTT